AAGAATTAACAAATGGGACCTCATTAAACTAAAAAGCTTCTGTACATCAAAGGAGGCAACGAGTGAACAGAAAATCCACAGAATGGGAGAAAATCTTCACCACCAACACATCCAACAGAGATTTAATATCCAGAATATAATGAACTTAAAAAACAAGAGACTCAAGACAAGAAGTATACCAATTAATAGATGGGCTAAGGAGTTGAACAGAGAGTTCTCAGAAGAAGTAAAGATGGCTATGAAACATCTTAAATGATGTTCAACATCACTAATAATTAGGGAAATGCAAATTCAAAACACTTTAAGATTCCATCTTATCCCAGTCAGACTGGCTAAGATTAAGAAAACAAATGATACCAAATGTTGGAGAGGATGTGTGGAAAGGGGAACACTCATCCACTGCTAGTGGGGCTACAAACTTGTTCAACCCTAATGAAAGCAGGGTGGAGAACTCTTAAAAAACTCTACAAATGAACCTACCATTTGATCCAGTTATACCACTCCTTGGCATATACCGAAAGAACTCATCCTATTGCAGAAACACTTGTACATTCATGTTTCTTGCTGTCCTTTTCACAATAGCTAAGAGATGGAAGCAACCTAAGTTTCCTTCAGTTGACGAGTGGATAATGAAAATGTGGTTCATTTATATGATGGAGTTTTACTGAGCAGTAAAGAAAGATGAAATCATGAAATGTGCAGGTAAATGGATGGAACTAGAAACTGTTATACTAAGTGAAGTAACACAGACTCAGAAAAAAAATATCGATGTGTGTTCCACCTCATATGTGGATCCTAGAACCAAATCCTGATAAGTGAGTATGAATCCAGACATAACTACAGGAACCAGGATAATGGAAAGGAAACAGGGAGGTAAAGGAAAAGAAAGAACCTGAAAGAGAAGAAAAGTAGGAAACAGGCCTTAATAAGGGAAATATGGATAAAAATTGGGTTAGTTTAAGGGAGGGGGCAGGGAAGGGTATACAAGGAACCTAGGGGATAAAGGGAAAGAAGGAGCTCAAGAGAGGTAGGACTATAGGAGAAGGGTATTATTATGGGAGAAAGGGGGGAAATGGGGGCACCTTAAGTGGGAAAACCATGATGGAGGGGTGAGACAATGCGAGAGATAAATAATGCCTAGCTAGTTTTGAACATAGAGGGAACCATATTACTCCTACAAATTATACATAGCAGATCAAGAAATATATATCTAGGTAAGGTTTGTTTGTGAACAATTTGTCTTTGCCCAAGATTTATCTACATGACACACAGTAATTAAA